TACTATGAACAAATGTACACTAACACACTGGAAAACCTAGAGGAAATGAAAAAATTTCTGAGCACTTATAAACTACCAATATTGAACCAAGAAGAAACAGTAAACCTGAACTGGCCAATAACAACTAACAAGACTGAGTCTGTCATAAAAAGCCTGCCACCAAAGAAAAGCACAAAACTGGATGGCTTTACTGCTGAATTCTATCAAATTTTTAAAGACCACACACCAATTTTTCTCAAATTATTCCAAAAAATTGAAAAGAAGGAAATTCTTCCTAACTCTTTCAATGACGCTAGCATTATCCTAATACCCAAAACAGACAAGGACACAATAAAAAAATTAAACTACAAGTCAATATCCCTGATAAACACAGCTGCAAAAAATACAAGCAAACCAAATCCAAACACATTAAAAAGTTAATACACCATGACCAAATGGGATTTATCTCAAGGATGCGAGGATGACTCAATATATGCAAATCAACAAATGTGACACATGATATCAGCAGAATTAAGGACAAAATCATATGATCATCTCAATAGATGCTGGAAAACTTCTGATAAAATTCAACACTCCTTTGTGACAAAAACTCTCAACAAAGTAGGCATGTAAAGGACATATCTCAATAAAGGCCATATATGATAAATTCATAGCTAGCATTATACTGATTGGGGAAGAGCTGAAGGGCTTTTATTTAAGATAAGGGTGTTCACTTTCACCACTCTTATTCAGCAAACTATTAGAAGTCCTAGCAAGAGCAATTAGGCAAGAAAAAGAAATAAAAGGTATCCAAATAGGAAAAGAAAATACCAAACTGTTCCTCTTTGTACATGACATGCTCTATTTACATATTTTAAAAACCTAAAGATTCCACAGAATAATTCTTAGAACCGATAAAAAAATCTGGTAAACTTGCAGTATACAAAATCAACATACAAAAATCAGGAGAATTTCCATACACCAATAACAAACTAGCTGAAAAATAAATCAAGAAAGCAATCTCACGTACAATAACTACCAAAAAACACAAACTATTGGGCTGATGTATAAGTTCGTAGCATTTTTTGCTTGCCCATGGAATGCAAATGTCACACAATAGTTGACGGGTCACAGTTCATCGCATTTGCCAATTCTTGGATTGACTGATGGGGATCAACGTGGATTAAAGCATTTAAACGGTCTTCATCAAAGCCCGATGGTCTTCCTGAACGTGGAGAACCACTCAGGTCAAAGTGGCTCTCTTTGAAACGACAAAACCATTTTCTTGCTGTGGTTTCCCCAATGGCATTCTCCCCATACACAGCACAAATGTTTCGAGTTGCCTCCGCTGCCTTTACTCCTCTGTTAAACTCAAACAGAAGAATATGTCTGAAGTGTTCGTTTTTTTCCACTTGACATTCCATCTTCTTTAGCCCACAGATAGCACTAACTTTCTTCAAATCTGCAAAATGCAAGGTGTATTCACAAGCACAACATTGTCACTCCAAATGACAAATAAACAAATCCTAACACTGCAGTGTTGCCATGTCAAAAACAAACACTACGAACTTATATATCAACCTAACACTTATGAATAAATTTAACCAAGGTGAAAAATCTCTACAATGAAAAATGCAAAACACTGATAAAAGAAATTGAAGATAACACAAACAAATGGGAAGACATTCAATTCTCATGGATCATAAGAATTAATATTGTTAAGATGACCATACCACCCAAAGTAATCTAGAGATTCAATGTAATTCCTGTCAAAATAACAATGACATCCTTCATAGAAACAGGGGAAAAAAAATCCTAAAATGCACATGGAACCACAAAAGACCCTGAGGACAGAGCAATACTTAACAAAAAGAACAAAGTTGGAGGTATCACATTGTCTGACCTCAAATTATATAAAACTATAGTAACCAAAATAGCATGGTATTTATATAAAAACAGACACGTAGACCAATGAAACAGAACAGAGAACCCAGAAGTAAATCCACATATTTAAAGCCAATTCAGTTTTGACAAAAGTACCAAAAACATATACTGGAGAAAGAATAAACTCTTCAGTAAATAGTACTGGGAAAACTGGATATCCATATGCAGAAAAATAAAAGTAGACCAGTATGTCTCACCATATAAAAATATCAACTCAAAATAGATTAAACTTTACACATAACACCCAAAAGCATAAAACTACTAGAAGAAAGCATTTGGGAAATGCTTGAGGACACTGGTCTAGGCAAAGATTTCAGGGCTTAGACTTCAAAAGCACAGTCAACAACAACAAAATATACAAATGTGACTATATTAAACTAAAAAGATTCTGCAAAGGAAACAATTAACAGTGAAGAGACAATATGTATAATGGAAGAAAGTATCTGCAAACTATTCATCTGGTAAGAAATGACTATCCAGAATAAACAAAAAACACTAGCAACTCAATAGCAGAACAACAAACAATCTGATTAAGAAGTAGGGAAAGGAACTGAAAAGACCATTTCTCAAAAGAAGACATAGAAATGGACAAAAAAATATATGAAAAAATATTCAACATCACTAATCATCAGAGAAATGCAAACCAAAACCACAACGAGATATTATCTCACTCCAGTTAGAATGGCTATCATCAAAAAGACAAAAAAGGCTGGGCACTGTGGCTCAAACCTGTAATCCCAGCACTTTGAGAGGCCAAGGAAGGAGGACTGCTTGAGTCCAGGAGTTCAAGAGTAGCCTAGGCAACATAATGAGACCTCATATCTACAAAAAAAAAAAAATCAAAAAATTAACCAAGCATGTTGGCAAACACCTGTAGTCCCAGCTACTCATGAGGCTGAAGCAGAATGACTGTCTGAGCTCAGAAGGGCGAGGCTGCAGTGAGCTGTGAGCATGTCACTGCACTCCAGCACTCCAGCCTGGGTGACAAGTGAGACCCCAACACCCTACCCCAAAAGAAATCCTGTCATTCACAGCAACATGGATGAGCCTGGAAGACATATCTTAAGTGAAACAAGTCAGGAACAACAAGACAAATACTGTATTTGCAATCATATGTGGAAGCTTAAAAAAAAATTGAACTCATGGAAGTAGAGAGAATTGTAGGTATTAAAGACTGTGATGGGGATGGGGGAGGGGAAGAAGGAGGGAAATTGGTTAATGAATACAAAATTACAGCTAGATACGAGAAATGAGTTCTGGTGTTCTGCAGCACTGTAGGTTGAATATGGTTGGTTATAATTTATTGTATATTTTCAAAAAGCTAGAAGAGAGGCCTTTGAATGTAACACAAAGAAATAAAAATTGTTTGAGGTGATGGATATGCTAGTTACTCAGAGTTGATCATTACACATTGTATAAAGGTATAAAAGTATAAAAATAGCACTCTGCATCCCTAAATATGTACAATTATTATGCTTCAACTAAAAATACAAGACAAGAACAATTAAAAATGAATTTTTTAAAAGAGCTGAAACTATAAAACTCTAAAAAGAAAATATGGAGGTAAATTTTTATGACCTTAAATTTAGCAATGGATTCTTACATATGACATTTAAAGCATAAACAAAAAGGAAAAAAACAGATACATTGGACATCATCAAAAGAAAAAAAAATTGTACATGAAAGAACATGGTCAGGAAAGTAAAACTAATGATAAAAAAACAAGTTCATTTATAATACACGGAAATATACAAAATGAAAGTAACAGTAGTTTAATCAACTATTATGATCAAGTTAAAAAATTTAGCCACTATTCAACTTCAAAATCTCCCTCAACAAGCTGCATCAAAATCATATTTGTTGAAGGACACTGAAAAGTGGCACACATGGGATGAACAGAGTGGCATTAACAATGGTTTGGTCAACAACATAACAGATACAAAGCTGTGAACTTGGTACAACGTTCTCACTATGATAAATTCCTACATCTCTTACTATTGGCTTATCACAGTATCTTGGGGCATGCTGACTGCCTGGCTTCAAGGGACACTTACATATGCAGGAGGATGATATCATGACAAATCAGTCAAAATGTTCAAGGCTTTTCTGTTATCCAGTAAGCCTACTCCAAGGGACAGTCCACCAGAAGTTGTCCAGTACAAAAAAGATAACATTTTAGACTCTAGGAATATGTGTTTCAAATGAGTTTCCGAGGCAGAATCATGCAAACTTAGAAGAAAGTGAAATCAGAAAGAACCAAGGATTTCTACATTGCGAGAATAAGTAGGAGGGAGAAAAAATACAAGATATGAGAGTGAACTAAGGAGGTCAGATAATGTGGGAATATTTAGAAGAATCTGTGTCCTCTGACCACAAGCCCCAGGCTGAATGCCTGAAACACCAAGATATGACCCTCATGAAGGACTGGGGATCAAAGTGCAGATCTCTCTTATTACTGTCTTTTCAGTATTACTGAGTAAAAATCTCAAAAAACCCACCCCATCCTGTTAAACATACTTCTCATGCATGGCGAAAGCAGAACTGAAAAAACAGCTAAGAGGCCTGAAATGGCAGAAAGGGACTGAGACAGCCTCATGCACTTTTCTGGAGTCCCAGATGCCAGTGTTTTCCCATTCCATTGAGAAGATCTCCCAAGAGCATGAAATGGCATGGAATCCTGGAGAAGGCCTGGGGCAAGCCCTGAGGAGGCCATGACTCTGATCTGCATGGACCCAAAACTGAGAACAGAACAAGAGACCAAAAAGAAAAAGGATGCCATATAAACAAGCCTCCCAGTGCCCCTCAGGATCAAGGAACTCAGAGGTCATGGAGGCAGATAAGAGTGTTGTCAGTCATAATACTTTGCTTTAGTCTTTGCATGAGCTGCAGCAGCACTGGAAGTTGGGGGGATGAATTTTAACGTGTCCGAAGAAGAGTAAGGGGAAGTGAAGAATAATTTCCTTTGAGAGCTCCCCAAAAATAAGCTTTTATTTTCCCACAGACCTTTCACATTTGGGCAGAGTTTCTCAAACACTAGGTAATAAAGCAGCTTTCTCTCTGTCCTTCTGAAATCTTACCTGTGTTCACACTCTTGATACATTCCCACCCATCTGAGATTTTTGTTATTTTCACCTTACTCTCCACAGTCCAGGGTTCTTTCCCTTGCTCCAAGATGGAGATAATATTCAGGTTAGAAAAAGAGATTCCTATTCATAAGAAGTAAAAAACATGATGTGCTGTGGCTTTTCCAGACGACAATCCTAGCCAAGAAAAGAAGGCATTACAGATGGGCCTAGAAAAATACTTCACAAATTCATCCACTAACTTTCCTTCTGAGTGCTTAAAAATATTTTAAATATAAACATATCTAGCTATCTTCCAAGGATTATTGAATCAAGTGTATAGAGATAAAACCAGATCCAGAGTCAGATATAATTTAAAGTTTTCCATAAGGTTTTGTGCTTAAGGTTCAACTTCTGGAACCAGCACTAATCTAGTGTGAAGTGGGCAGAATATCTGAAGAAAGAGGAAGGTTAAAGTCCAAATGCTGTATTGTGAAGCTTTTCATTCAGAGTCAACACAGCTTCAATCTCAGTCAAGCAATGCAGGGGCTCCCAAAAGACTCACTAGGGCAAATTTCGACTTCTGAAGGGAAGTTATCCTCACCCACGGAGACCAGGTTCCTGTAGTTCTCCATCATCACATCCCTGTATAAAGTCCTCTGAGCAGGGTCCAGGAATTCCCATTCCTCCTGAGAGAATTCTATGGCCACATCCCTGAATGTCAACAGTTCCTGAAATGAAAAACACATTTCATCCAGCAGACACAGAGTTTTTATCTTCACACAAAACGGAGAGAGGTGTTAAAAGAACAATCTGCTGAAGACAGTGTTTTCATAGATCATTTTGAGCAACATAATTTGGAGACATTTATATATCCCTAATTTTGTTTTATGACACTATTTAATTAGAGCATATAAAATCTTTGAAATCACTATGGATTTCACATTTTTGTGGACAATAAAAGAAATATACAAATAAAAAATACCTAACACAGGGTAGTTTATACAGAAGTGCTATATAATAAGTACTATATAACGCTCTACACACCAAATGATATTCAATACCCAAATGAGCTAGAGTATGAGTGGTGTTATCAAGGACGACAAAGCCTTTACATATGCAAAAATATAAATTCGAGTTTATCCATTTAAAATTACATATTTACCAATAACAAAAGCCAAGTGGAATTTATTACACTAATAAAACAATGACTCAAGATGAGTAATTTATTAATGTTATACAATAATTTAACAGATTAAAATAGAAAAATTTTATCATGGCAGTATATTTTTTTAAAAACTGAATAATTAAAAATCACGCCAAAAAAGAATTTTTAAAACTGCTATTAAGCAAGACAATTTCACCAACCATCATGGTCAGCAGTAAGCACTAGAAGCATTTCCCCTGAAAGTGAGGCTGAGACAAGGGGCCCAGCCAGGACACTTTTTTTTTTTTTTTTTTGAGTTGGAGTCTCACTCTATTACCCAGACTGGAGTGCAGTGGCCGCTCCCGGCCACCGCAGCCTCGACCTGCTGGGCTCCGGCGACCCTTCTGCCTCAGCCTTCCAAGTAGCTGGAACTACAGGCGCGCGCTACCATGCCCGGCTGATTTTTTGATTTACTGTAGAGATGAGGTCTCGCCTGCCCAGGAAGGTCTCGAACCCGCGGGCTCAGGCAATCCACTCACCTCAGCCTCCCAAGGCACGGGATTACAGGCTGAGCCACTGAGGCCAGTTTAGGATACTTTTTAAAAACACCACTGCACAGGATGTCTGAGCCAAGATCAGAATAGGGAAAAGAAAATTCTCATTAGCAATTTTATTAAGACACTTATTTATAAGATATTTCCAGACCTATGTGAAAAATTATAAAGTTTTACTGAAGGAAACAAAGACATGATCAAAGACTGACAAACCCAATTCTTATCAGAAAATGTGGTTCCATGAAGACCTCGGTGATTTAGAAATTCAGAGCAATTCAAATGCAAAAAAAGTATGGGATTTCAAATAAAAAGTCTCCATTGTGTCAAGAAGCACCAACATGATTTTAAAAAGAAAAACAAAATGGAGAGGAGCTGCCAAACTACTTGTGAATCTATTAGATAGAGAGTATGTGTGCATGCACATGTATTATATGAAACTTTAACATGAATTAAATGAATGGTTACAACAAGATATACACAAAAAAATTCAAATTAAATAAGTATAAATACAATTTTAGACAAAAATGACTTGGACTAAATAGAACTCCTAATTGAAATTATTCTAGGTAAGGTCTTGCAAAGCAAGATAAAAAAGCAGACAGGCAGGCTTGGTGGTTCAGCCTGTAATCCCGGCACTTTGGGAGGCCTAGGCGAATGGATTGCCTGAGCCCAGGGGTTTGAGACCAGCACAGGCAGCTTGGCAAGACCTCGGCTCTACGACAAAAAAAAAGTAGCTGGGTGTGGTGGCATGTGCTTGTGGTTCTGACTGCTTGGAAGGTCGAGGCGGAAGGATCGCCGGAGCCCAGTAGGTCAACGCTGGGGTGGTTGTGAGTGTGCCACTGCACTCCGGCCTGGGCGACAGAGTGAGACCCCAACTCAAAAAAAAAAAAAAAGAAAAAAAAGCAGACAGCAAGAAGGAACGATTTCTGCTTCACTGCAAAAAAAAAAAAAAAGATAAACTAAGAGGAATAGCAGGCATATATAAAGAACTACAGAGGGTCAGGCATGGTGTCTTATGCCTGTGGCCCCAATACTTTGAGAGATTGAGGCAAGAAAAGATTGCTTGAGCCCAGGAGTTCAAGACCAGCCTAGGCAACATACTGAGACCACATCTCTACAAAAAATAAAATTAGTTGGCCATAGTGGAATGGGCCTATAGTCCCAGCTATCCAAGAGGCTGAGGCAGAAGGATCATTTGAGCCCAGGAGGCTGAAGCTGTGATCCTGGCACTGCACTCCAGCCCAAGTAACACTCAAAAACAAACAAACAAAAAACAACAAAAAACTATAGAATATAAAATAGCCCCTATAAATACATCAAAGGAAAACAAAGCAAAAGATAAAAATCCATTTTTATCTCCACAAAATAAGTAAATTTATTCACAAGTAGTTGGGCAATTAAAATTCAAAGGATTATCATCTCCCCCTCCCCAGTTTTAAAAATACAACAAGACTACAGCATCAAGTTTTGCTTACATCAGGGGGAAATCTCAAGGATTTGGTGAGAGAGGACAACTTTGCAACTTTAGAGGACATCTGGCCAGAATCTATCAAAATATGAAATATGCCATCTTTGACTCAATAATCACACTTCAAGTTGCTCAAGCCAGAGAGATCCTTAGACACAGGCAGAAGTCAGCCTGCTTAGAGGAAACCACTGCAGCATTCTTTATATCATCAAAAAATTGTAAAAGACTCAAGTCTTTGTTAAGAGAAGGCTGCAACAGAATCTAACAATATAAGCTATCTCTGTTTACTACCATGAAAACAACTGCTGGACATATGCTGTGTACATTTTTTTAATCTTCAGAATAAAATACCACAGCAAACAGTCCCCGAAGATTTTTTTTTTCTAAAAATCTCAATGAAGTAAAAATGCAGTTTTATAAGACTTGCACTGACTCCTGCCACGGAACTGACAACAGTGGTTCTCCAGGGATTCTTCAGGGATTGTGGGGGACATGACAGGAAAGGCTTAGTCCCTAAGCCACACAGAGATTTAGAGTTTTCTTATAAAACAAATATATATTTTATGTGATATGTAAAATAAAATAAGTATGAGATTTAATAAAAATGGCGAAATCAGAATTTGGCTCTAACCTCTCTGATGACAAAGATAAAGCTATGTGCTATAAAACTTTAGCTAGTTATGACCATTTATATCTAATGATTTTAAAGAATGTTTTACTGTTAGACATTTGGGTTCAGTTCATATCTGAAAACCAATAATGGAATAAAACATTCTGTACTGCTGATGTCTTATTTCTGAACCTTATACTCTATTCTGAATCATTAATACTTTGGAACCAGAAAAACCATGATACACTTAGTCAGCTTCAGATGCATTATAAAATCAGCCAGAGAAGGTTTCTCTTTATTACTCTTCTCTTCCAGAATTTATCAAGTACTTGTGCACATTGACATGTGACTCCTACATGCAGTTCCTCTAACCCTGGTCTAGAGAGCTGGTGGTGGACCTAGACATAGCCCCTAAACAACCCTGCTGCCCAACAGCATTCATACCACAGGGCCCACACCCATCTCCATCCACATCTGAGTGTGAGCCCTTCCCAGGACCATGCCCCATGAAGCCTCCTCAGGAGTTCAAGTCACTAGGCCACAGTGAGTTGGAATCGAAGTGGAAACAAAAGGGACTGGGGGAAGGCAGGGGTGAGTGTGAGCAGACACATCAGGAAGGACACTTCAAGTCATACTTCAAAAGTCAGAAAAAATTAGCAACTCCAAAGAACAGCATTTCAGGACAGAAGGAGAGACAGAATAATCAACAGAAACTATGACTTTTACTTGGGAAAGAGCCATTCCTCCTGACTTCTCTTCTTCTTCCTCCTCCAGTCTCCTTTCTAAGGCAAGACCACTCTTGAGAAGACAATCTGAAATGTTGAAAATATGTTGTTTAATACTTAGAATCAGCATACCCCTTCCTGTGCCACAACCACACAAGCACAGAAAAGACAAAAAGGACTTAAGGGGGCAATTACATAGGTGGAGACTTTAGCCCACATCTCATTAGTTAAGCAGACCACATAAGTGAAGAAAAGAAGCTGCCGAGTATTAAACTAACTGGTTAAACTAGGTATCGACCATAAAAGGATCATCAACATCCTTACCAGATGCACAGTAAAACACTGAAAAATTATTTAATAATCAACTGATACTATGACTTTTACTTGGGAAAGAGCCATTCCTCTTGACTCCTCTTTCGTCTTCCTCCTCAAAATCAAAGAATAGTTTTAATATATTACAAAGAGTCGAAAGCATTCAGACCTTATAATCTGAAATGGTACAATAAATTTAAGCGGGAAAATGATTTGGAATTTGTTTTAAATCCAATGAGTTCTGAGATTAGAGTTAAGACAAATTTAATGGTACATCAAATTTAAAGAAGAATGACGAGTTAATTATGGGATGCCATAACGGTTATTTCAGCAGTTAATGATTATTTACAGTGAAGCAGAAATTAAACTAAGACGTATCTCAGTAAAGGTGAAAAAGAACAATGAGTTAAAGGTAAGGGAAATAGAAAAAGAAAGTATTCGTTGGAGGGAAGGAAAAAACTACAACAGCAATAATGTTCCTTTAAAAGGGCATCATGTGACGTCAGACAGTCTTCTTCCCCTATTTCACTTCCCCACTCACAGCCCAGAGCAAGGCAAGAAGGTGACCCCCTTTGGCCAATTAGAGGTTGCAAAGTTACCTTCCGTTACAAATAACTAGAACACACACAAGCCTCATACAGCTGGTTCTGCATGTCTCATTCTTTTGCATATAAAAAACTCAACACATTTTAAATAAGACTAGGCCGGGCTCAGAGGCTCAGCCTATAAACTTGCGCTTTGGGAGGCCAAGGAGAGTGGATTGCCTGAACCCGCTGGTTCGAGACCCACCTGGGCAACTTAGCGAGACATCATCTCTAGCCAGGCGTGGTAGCGCGCGCCTATAGTTCCAGTTACTCGGAAGGCTGAGGCGGAAGGATTGCCGGAGCCCTGCAGGTGGAGGCTGCAGTGGCCGGGAGCGGCCACTGCACTCCAGTCTGGGTGACAGACTGAGACTCCAACTTAAAACAAACAAAAAAATAAGACTAGAGAGCCAAACACAGTACTTGACCAATTAATCTTCCATACCCACTCAACACTCACTGGACCTGGTCCCCTACCCCCTTTCCCCACCACTAAGTGTGTTGTTCTCTCTGTATATTTCTTTCTTGTCTTTTTCTCTTTCTCTCTTTTGTCCCTAGCGTTTCTGCAATACCCCTTCCCAACATATCTCCTCCTACAACGTGTTTTGCCCTACCCTGTTGCAACCTGTTTCACTTCCCCACACTTTCTGATTGTCTCCCCACACTTCCTGAGTGTCCCTTAACTCCATACAGTTCTGACTCTTTCTCCCCCAACGATATTCCCCTTAAATTCCCCTTCCTCCAACTCTGGGCCCCTCAGCTTGTTAAGGTCCCTCTCTACCTGTCTTCTGCCTCTGCTCTCCTGTCCCTTCTCGAGGCTTCCTTCTATCCCTCACCTCATCTCTCTGTCTTCCGGGGCCCCAACTCATTCCACCCATCAATCTGACGTCTCCCTCCCCTCAGCTCCTGCAGCCCCCACTCCTGCTGCTGGTCAAGGTCTCCTTCCATCTACTACCCTTTATCTCTCTGGAGATCCCTCTTTTTATCTCGATTTCTCAATTTTCTTTTCTCCTTTTGCTTCTTTCTCTGGCTCACCCTTAGTGTTCCTTCAAGTTCATCTCAATTTCACTCTGTGTTCTCCCATGCTTTCTTCTTCACTTACAGTGACTCTCACTCTCCCTCTTTCTGTCTCTGCGTCTGGCCTCATCCTCGCCTGGTCCCTGCACATTCAGAGATGTGTAATAAAGACATATATCCTCCCCCACCCCCACCCCACCCCCGGTTAAAGAGCTTCCCCGTGGGGCATCGGTAATGTAAACAGAACCAAAAGCATGCACGACCAACGAACGAGATGCTATTGGTGCGGAGGACACAGGGAGTGTGGGAGTGTCCCCGAACGCGTGCGGGGCACCTCCCGGGGCAGCGTGGGGGCCAGGGGCCGCCCCACGGCTGTGAGGGCAAAGTGGAAGACCAGGCAGGGGCGGGACCCGTCTCCAGAGGACGCGCAGAAGGGGGTGTCAAGAGAGGGACCGGGTCTGCGTATGTCAGGGCCAGGAACAGGACGCGGAGGCCAGGGCCCGCACTGCCAAGGCTGCTCTGGAGGCAGCCAGGCGGGCGAGGCTGGAGAGGCTGGGGGATCGAGAAGGCGAGACTGGCTGGGGGCGAGGTTGGAGGGGGCGTGACTCCATCTGCTAAGGAGGACTTCGCGCGGTGAGTCTGGGGGACGGAGGGCGCGGGAGAACAGGAGCCCGCTGGAATCACTGATGGGGTTTAAGCACGAAAACGACCAGCTTGACCCACGGCAGAAAAGCGAAGGTCAGGGCGTGGGACCCGCCTCCGACAGGTTTAACCCGAAGTAGGGAAGGACTCTCGGACCCGCCGCGGAGGACCGGGCCACCAGACATCTCATGGCAACGCCGGGACCGACAGCGGGTCGGGCGAACGGGTGAAGGGATTTTAACGTATGGGGAGGCTCCTGAACCCGGGCTGGGGCCCGCTGGGGGCCTGGGAGGGCCGCAAAGCCGGGGTTTGAACTAAAAATACCAAGACACTCACTCCACTCGCTCCCACGGTCCGCTCGATTCGCTTCCGGATCGGCCGAGAAGTGCGCGTGCGCAGCGGGACCTGCGGCTCACGGGGCGGGACCGGCGAAGGGCGCGTCGTGGGCGGGAACCCGGATTGGACAGAAAGAAGGCGGGGCGGGTGTAAAGGCGGGGCCTGGAGGAAACAGATCTTAGCCCCGCCCCCCGTCTCAGGTTGTGGTTGTGGCTGTCTAGCCAGCCGTGACGGATGCCTCTGCCTTTTTTTTTTTCTCCCTCTTTTTTGAGTCAGGGTCTCACTCTGTGACCCAGGCTGCAGTGCAGTGGCGCAATCAGGGTTCACTGCAGCCTCGACCTCCTGGGCTCAGGCGATCCTCCCGTCTCAGTCTCCCAAGTAGCCGAGTCTACTGGCGCGGACCACCAAACTGCGATTTTTTTCTTTTTCTTTCTTTCTTTCTTTTTCTTTTCTTCTTTATTTTTTTTTTTTTTTGGTAGAGTTGAGGTCTCCTTATGTTGCTTAGGCTAAGCTCCAGCTCCTGGGCTGAAGCGATCCTCTCTCCTTGGCCTCCAAAGTGCTAGGATTACAGTAAGTCCCCTACATACACCATGAGCTCAGTTCCAAGAGCGCGTTAATAAATTCCTAAATCCAGTTTGTTTCTTAGTCCAACAAAGTTAGCTGAGGTACCCAACTAACACGATCAGCTATATAGTACTGTATGTATTTAACAGGCTGTACTACCACTTAGTGAAGAGAACTATTAACAGCACACTATAGTACTGTAATAGGTTTAGAATACTTTTCACACAAATAATACATTTAAAAATGCATGTTTGCATCTCTGAAAGTTCACAACTTGAAGGTTTGTATGTCGGGGACTTACCATACAGGCGTAAGCCACTATGCCAGCCTCTACTCAAGGCAACAGTTGGTGACCTAACATCACTGGCCTTAACCCACCATGCCTTACACCTCAGGCGTTGTCCCTATAAAACTCTCTGAAACTGAGCATAGGGTTGACTCTCTCCCTCAGGAGTGAATGGAGAATAGAAATGGAAAGGATTTCTGTTGGGCATCAGCACAAAATTGCACAGTCTGCCCAGAAAGGGTTTTGCATATTATATTCTAGCTTGCAGCCCCTTCCCAGACAGTTTCGGGGTTCTTTAATTAAATTGCTAACCTTAATTTTAATTATAGAAACTTCTCTGGAATGGGTCACCAGCAGTCATTGAGCCTCCCAGGAAGGTCCCACTTTTCAGACCTCTGAGTTGTTTCAGCTTCATGGCATGTGTTGCTTCCAAACCCTTGAAAACAAAGACTGGCCAGGACCAAGGCAGAGGGATACATGGGGCCCACCAGGCCCAGCCAGGCCTTGCTCAGACCCTCCAGGCCCTACTGAAATGGTCCGTGGAACACATGGCTTCTTTCTCGCCCCGCCAATAGGAATCAAGAAGCAAGGAACTGAGAAGAATTTCTGAATTCAGAATTTAGGGAGTCAAGCCAGTATAGATACCAAGGTCAGCTCAGCACCTTGGAGTTTACAATCCATATTTACAAGCACAAGTGTTAAAACTTGCTATAGGTTAACATCAAGCTATGACATTTCAGAACATCCCCATGACAACTGCATTCCATTATTCTGACGTTCATTGCCTGTACCTTTCTGTACCATTTCAAGCATCATGCCTTTGTTATTAAACACAAAGAAATGCTTTCCAGAGTTTAGTAACTTTTTCACAGGTTACACAGAGTAGATGCAAAAGAGCAGGTTGGCTTCTTTACCATTGTAAAACACTATGAATCGACAGCTGTGGTGGCTCATACCTGTAATCCCAGCCCTTTAGAAGCCAGAGATGAGAGGATTGCCTGAGCCCAGGGTTTTGAGACCAGCCTGGGCAACTTGGCGAGACCTCATCTCTACAACAAATTTTTAAAAATTTAGCCAGGCATGGTGGTGCATGCCAGTGGTTCCAACTACTTGGAAGGCTGAGATGGAAGGATCGCTGGAACCTAGCAGGTTGAGGCTGCAATGGCCATGACTGTGCCACTGCACTCCAGCCTGGGCAGCAGAGTGAGACTCCAACTCAAATAAATAAATAAATAGTATATATCTTAAAAATTCAAATATCACATTATATGTTAGTTTTACAGTAAAACTCCAGTCAAGCCTGCAGCTTAGGCCTTAAAACACAAAGCTCCCCTCGTCCTGCCCAGCCTTCTACCCTCCCTCACGTGTCTACGGGGAGCCACTGCTGTCAGTTCTGTGTCAAGGGTCAGCACAAGTTCTGTACAAATGTATTTACAGAGTGTTATGATATTTAAAAAAATTATTCAGTGACTGTTTGTAATATTCTGTCCCGGAAGTTTTGGAAATGGACGTGTTTTCATGTTAGGAGCATGGATCGTTTGCTCTTTTACATCCTGGTTTGAATGTTTCCTTTATCCTTTTTTTTCGATTTTTTCTTTTTTTACTCCAACTTTGTTCTTTTTCAAATTAATTTTATTTTGTTATAGAGATGTGGGGTACAGGTAAGGATTAACTCCGCAAGTAAGCTGCACACAGGTGACATTTGGGCTTCCATCTCATATGTCTCATCTCCATCTCACACAGGTGACATAGGGCCCTCATTCCGCCGGTAAAGGACCAGGGACCCTTTGTGTTGCTAGTGTCGACTCTTACCTCCCTCCCTCCCCCCTCTTCCTCCCCCTCCTCCCTCCCACTGCCCGCCACCCCCAGCAGTGCCCAGCGACTGCCCATCCCTCCCCTGTGCTAATGTGATTAACGTCCTCTGATTTCAAAAACGGTCACCTCTCCCAGTTGTGTGCGTCTGGCTTGATGCGGGGAGGACGCGCTCCATCAGCCGCGCCAGGGATTCGGGAGACCCTCAGGCCTCTTCTGGGGCGCGACCCCTCTGGGCTTTGCTTGCGACCTCCCAATTGAGGGGGTTTCCAGCTTCTCCTCCGCAGCTCCGGGTCTCCTGCTCTCCCGCCACCTCGGTGGGGCCGCCGCAAGCTGCGGTCTGGATGGCCACCGCGTGTCCGCCTGTGGCACTGCAGGCTCTGGTTTCTGTGGGGCCTTTGTTCTCAGGGGCCCCTGCCCTGGCGACTGTGACTATGACGTTCACCTAAGAGAGAAACTTGTCCCTCGGGCAGTGCCCTGAAAGTCAGAATATGGGAGGGACGTTGCCCTCTTTTTCCTCCCTCGGGAGAAGTCGGGAGGGTTTGGTTTCCTCGGGATGATGTCACACCATGCCTGGACAGGGGCCCTGGCGTGTAGGTGTCACATTTTCTGGCTGGTCTCCCGTGGGGTCGACTTCGTCCTTCTCTGGGATGCAGGAACCCCGTGAATGGCTTCTGAATTTCTCACAAAGGCAATGGGTCCGTGTGTGGTTAAATCCAATTCGTGTCTCCCTGCGGGAAGAATGACCTGGGCCTCCTGTTCCCTGTCTCCCTCTTTGAGTTGTGTGATTTCTTGCGTAGCTCTGCGGTGTCTTTTAATTAGGTGGTATGTAATATTCGCTAAGGGAGATGTAAAGTGTTTCTTGTATGTGTGTGTGATTTTAAAATGAGCACTGCCAGGGCAGGAAAATTGTTGTCAATACATTGCTATAGTTCATACGCTATAGCAACATTGTTTCTCTTGGTCACAATCGTCATCCTTAGTTTTAACAGACTCAGCTCTTTCCTTCCCTGTCAACCCCCACTTTTTTCTTCTACCTTTTCACTCTGCTACTGTCTTTGCTTAGCCCCTGTGCAATGATTGTTGGCCTCAGGCCAGCCCCCTTACCCTGCCTTAAATGAGTGGAAATGTATCCCATATTTACTGCTGATCATGATGTTTCATGAGATATTCTTGCTTAACATCAAGGGTTTTTTGTTTTCCAATTTTTTGTTTGTTTTTTATTTTAGAATTGTGGGGTCCATGTGAGGATTTGCTACACAAGTATATCACATGAAGGCAAGGTTTGGGCTTCTGGTAAGCCCTTTACTCCTCTCCCCCAGTAATGGGCATGGTACCCAATGGGTGGTTTTGCATCCCTTGTCCCTTCTCTTGTCTCCCTCTTTAGCAGTGCCCAGTGTCTATGGTTCCCATCCTCGTGTCCATGTGCCCAATATTTAGTGCCCACTTATGAGTGAGAACATGTATTCATTTTTTATTTTTTTGGTTTCTGTGATAATTCACTTAGAATGGTAGTCTCCAGCTGTATCCAGGTTGTGCAAAGGACATGGTTTTGTTCTTCTTTGTGGCTGTGTAGTGTTCCTTTGTGTATATGTACCACATTTTCTTTATCCAGTTCAAATTTATTGGGGATCTGGATTGGTTCCATGTTTTTGCTATTGTAGAAAGTGCTGTAGTAAATGTATGTATGCAAGTGTGTTTTGTTTTGTTTTGAGTAGAGCAATTTGTGTTCTTTGGTGTATATTCCTATGAGTCCTCATGGATTGGAAGAATCAACGTCATCAAGACATCCATTCTATCCAAAGCACCTAAAGATTCAATACAATCTGTCAAACTACCAGCAACATTTTTCACAGATCTAAAGAAGACAATACTTAAGTGTCTGTGCAAACAAAAAAGAGCTGGAATAGCTAAAGCAATCCTCAGGAAAAAGAACAAAGCTGGTAACATCTCACTCCCAGACTTCAAACTTTACTACAAGGCTACAGTAACCAAAACAGCATGATACTAGGACAAAAATAGACACATACGCCAGTGAAACAGGATAGAGAACCCAGAAATAAGACCACAGACATTCAACCAACTCATCTTTAACGAAGGTGACAAAAGCAAACATTGGGAAAGAAAATATGATGTTGGGATGACTGGCTAAACACATGCAGAAGAATGAAACTGGACACCCTACCTAGCAGCATATACAAAAATGAACTCCAATTTTGGTTTTGGCCTGATTTTTAATTATCCAGTCATTTCTTAAGGCATATCCTGCTGAGATAAATATGTCCTTTTAACTTGGTATGCTAAATTAATATACAATATTAATAAATTTTTAAATCATGAGTCACTTTCATTGGTGGAATA